TGACAAGCTGTGTTAATGAGCATTTATTGAGCTATACCGAGTTGGCTTGACAAGCTGTGGCAACCAAAACGGTTATCCTAGGCAGGGAAGCTAGAGCTTGTTGTTTCAGTGCTAGCTAGCATGACTCAATTTTGGATGAATGTTATTCTTCTGCCAAAGAAAGTTATTAAAGAAATAGAAACACTATGATCCTAGTTTCTTTGGAGCGATTTTGAGAAGAAAAAAATTGCCAAGGTATCCCGAAAAATGGTGGCCTTGCCTCGTACAGAGGGTGGTCTGGGTTTCAAAGACCTTTGCTCTTGGAATAACGCCTGCCTAGCTCGTCATATTTGGGCAATTCTTTTGATCAGGAAACACTGTGGATTGCTTGGATAAAGGAGTATCGACTTCGTAATCTTAGCATATGGGAAGTGAAAACTAGAGGCTCTTGGGTATGGAATAAAACCTAAAGCTTCATGATACTTTTGATGGGAAGCTATACAAAACTAGTCAGGGAGTGTAATGGGAAGGAGAGAAGATGACCAGGTTTCAGATTGGTAAGATTGTGACAGAGTATTAGGCCGAGAGGTGAAGCAGGGGTGTGGTCTAAACTTGTCTGGAAGGGTGCAATCCCAAAAAATTTTGTGATTACTTGGTTGATTCTGTTGGGTAGAATAACCCTGGATGTGGTGCAACGCTGGAACCTTGATGTAGACACTACATGCCCACTTTGTGGACAGGAGTCAAAGTCAAGTGGCCATGAATATTTTATGTGTGTGCATGTGCAGGAAGTATGGAGGAGTGTTTTCCCTTTGCCATGGCAGATCCCGCTCGCACATAATGTGCAACAGGTAGTTGAATTGGCAAATCAGAAGCTTTAGTAAATGCCAGGTTGGCCGAGTACTATGGTGTTTGGTGTTAAGTGAAGTTTGGCGAGAACGATGTAGACGTCTTTATGGGGGAAAGCAGATGTCTGTTGCGGATTTGGTTTGTAAGATGCAGAGAGTTATGGAAGCTAAGGAGCAGGGGGGTCTAAGGTTTGTTGAATCTCCTGTTGTTAAGATTCTGTGGTATAAAAGGGGCAATGCAGTAGAATTGTAATAGTTGTAACAGTAGAGTATTTGTTTTGTTTGCTTTGTTCTAATATCAGCTGGGTAGATGTACATGATTCTTGTTGACACTGTTCAGATCGTATTTGATAAATAAAAACCAACCCATTCATCGAAAAAATATTTTATTCGCCATTATAATAAATAATACCCAATATTTTAAATATTAGTTTTATATGATACTTAAAATTCTACGATTTTGAGATTCGATTTTACAATCCTAGTTTTGCTTCGTTTCTAATTTTTTCTCACATCACGATTTTGACTTCTTTTGTCACATCCAAGAAGCCATAACAAAAAAACAATATGTAGAGGTGATATAATGGTTTAAGATTCTTACTAGGAGACACCATAATGGTAAGAAGAAAGAATTTGTTTTTACGATGTAACCTTTGTTGTGATGTTGGCCTACGTGTATATAGTCGTTAAAGAGAGAGAGATTGAAATGCCACCCTTTGGAATTTTGGATTCCATCAAATTACGAGTTTTAGTTACTTTGCCTTTCTTCTTTGCTCATTTCTTACCAAAAATTTAGCAAACTTACCCATACGCTTCAACTAGCTAGCTTATTAGAGGACAGATAAAACAACAGCAAACGGTTGCTATTTAGTTGCCGTTTGATCTACCGCGACGAGATTCCGACTGTCATTTGGCATTTTGCGCCCATTCTTAACCTTTTGGGTGAATTACTCCCAGCCCAAATTTCGTCCTTGGAAGATACCCTTCAGTAAGTTCACACCTCCATATGATATTTTGTTGTCAACGATACAGATCTTCTTTTATTTTAGGACATGCAATAGTATATGGTAATCATTCATAAACGGTTTATAATAAGTTCATTAAATTTGTTGTGAAATTGGTATTTTAAAGACATTTTTTTCAGAGATGATAAATTAGCTAGACAAAATATTTTTTTTAGGATGTGTCTAACACATTAATCATTTGAATGATAACTTTACTTATATGGATAGTTAGGAAGAGCCTCCGAGCAAGGAACTTACTACGAATTCAATGTGTTTTGATTTTTGATGGAGTCGAACCAAATATTTATGGTGACAAAACATATATAATCCCTCGCAGACTCACAGTGGCGGAGGGAGGTGAGAAGGAGAGGGGTCCTAGGACCCCATGTGGGAATAAATTGGGTAACAAAATCCTTTAGAGACATAGGGCTTAGTACGATCCTTCAAGTTTAGGACCCAATACTCTCGACAATGTTAGCTTATCAAGGACCCCGATCAACTCAAAATTCAGTAGATACACAGACTTAATGTTAATAAATTTTGCCCAATGAACTCAAAGTCTAGCTACGCCACTGATCCCTCGAAAATATGAAATAAATCAAACCCGAAAACCCATCCCTTGTTTTCACAAAAGAGCTGGCATGTCCCCATCCACCTCTTCATTACTACCTCGTCTAGTACCCTCCTTCGTCCTCTTTTCCTGCCATATCTCCACTCCTATTCTCAATTTTAACGCATCCCTCTTTTTCCTCTTATTTTGTCTTTCATTTCAAGTTACTAGCAACCTGCTTCCAATCCCTACTTATGCCTCAATTCTACATATTGTCGATTGTGTTGATCCTTTTACATATTCCAAAAATAAGTCGTCTCCTTCATTTGCGACGAAACTCAATGCATAAATTTCAGACTACTTTTGAACTATTAATACTTGTAAGTTTAATTGAAGTAAATGATTTTAATAGTACTTGTTAGTGGGTGTATAGACATAACCGTTTAGTCGATTATCAGTTAACCACTAAACAATTTGTATTTACCGTTAACAACATCGTTTATATTAGTTGGTTAGCTGTAACGATATATTCAGTTATTGATTAACCAGATAACCGTTAAACAAGTAATTCATCAAGGTTAGATCAAAATAACCAATTGATAACCTAAAGAATAGAAGACCTCCTCTTTTATTTTTATTGTGCATTTTTGTAGATTTTTTCCTACATAAGTATGTCTTCTTTTTTTCAAGTTGTTATCAATGAAAAAAAAAAACAATTCAGCATAGATATCAATGCATAATCAAGTCAATACAAAACAAGTACACAATAACACCATTCTACCGTCAAATTTGATTAAAGAATCATACAAGAATAAGAGACCCAACAACAATGATTCAACTTATAAACGCCACCAAATTACAAGAAAGTTTAAATATTGCTGATTGTTGCCGAGCTACTGTGCGCAAGTCTATCTTTCTATTGTGCTACGTACTTCTAGAGCACTTTGAAATAATTCTTATTTGAACCTAAGTCACTATTGTAACTAGACTAGGCAAGGCATCTTGTAGATCTTCAAACATATCATTATTTTCAGCATATGTCTGCGCTAACCGAGACCTATTATTTTCTACCATAATTTTGAGGATGGTCATAATCGTTAGTTGGTTAACCGCTCAACTGTCGGTTACTAACCGTTCAATCATCGGTTAGTAAATTAGCTAATTTTTTCTACCAAAAACAGACAGTTTACTATTTAATCGCATATCGGAATAACCATTAACCGTCGATTCTGGTTCTGTTATCGGTTAACCCGCTAACTGAATAACCGTTAACCATCCCTTGAGTAAAATATATAACCCTGTCAGTGAACACTGATCTATCAATAATTTTCATTTTTCAAAATGACAGATTAAAAGAAAAAACTGAACTAAAAAATAATATAGTACCTACCCAAAGTGTTTGTGGATAAATTATATGCACTATAGGTACGTTACGTATGAACACCAATGACCATTGATGTTGACAAAATGGTCCATGTATTTACCAATAAGAGACGAGCAATGGGCCACTAATTGCAGTAGTTTGTTAATCGCTATCTTAGGAGACTTGGACCTCAGAAATAATCGTCACCTAAATTATTCATATATTCAACCGGCCAGGAAAGTATATTTTGTTCGGTTTGCTGGCTTGATTTGGGTTCGACTTTCTTATTAGTAATCTCTCGGGATATTTCACATTTTTATCATTTTGTTTGATGTCATGCATTCATAATGGATAAGCTGATTAGCTCAAAAATATTGGTTGGTTTGGTTTTTGTTTAATATTGTGTCACCCAATTGAGTGGCTAATCCAAGTGGGGATTGAATTTCCTCCTTATTTTATCGAGAAAAGAAGTATGCTGATATTAAGCTTTGTATCTCCATTTCATCTCTTCCCATTTGATCATCATTGTTCCGAAACACATGATGGAAATTGGCTCTTGTGTTTGACTTTGATACATCATTGTTTTTAATTTCACCCTTACACACAATACTATCACGGTAAATAATTATTATCTCAAAATTTAGCCCCATAGATCCACCACTGATCAGGAATATATGAGAGCGATCTAATGAAACTAACATATATTGATTGTAGCCCGCATTAGCATGTTAGCACAATTGTTTATCAAGTGCTACATATTTCTTTATCACGGAACCTTAAACAAAATAACAATAATCTTATCAATAATATAAATTATGCCAACAAAAGTGTTTTCACCAGGAAAGACTCTTAGTGACGATTGGCAAGAATGTATACCCATATTGACAAAGGTTATTGTTAACATTCATTTTATTAAGATTACAAACACATGAACCGTTGAATTTAATAACCATTCATTTTATTCATATTACAAACACATGAACCGTTGAATTCAAGTTATGATACATTTTTATTTTCCCTAAACTTAAGCAAGCAATGAAGAAACATAATAACACAATAGGATTAGTATTTTCCTTTTGGGGTTATAGAAGGAATGAACATATTTTTTGAGGCGAAACGCTGTCGCTTCCACCACATTAATCCTTACCTTTCCAAAACTGAATAATCAATTTTTTTAATCTTAACGCTGAAAACAGATTAATCCAGTATCGGAAATACAAAACGCCATCACCAATCACCGTTTTGCCCTCCCTCCTTTACACTGCAAGCGGGGCCGCCGACCGATCAATACTATTCTGCATCGCTCTGGCCCTCACCGGCCGCTTCTTCATCGGCTTCTCCGCCTCCTTCCCCGCCATCAACACGTTCCCGAACGGCGCGTGCGTCGGAGGCGCCGCCGCTCCTTGGTTCATCCCTTCCCTCGACGCTCCGCCGGCGATCAACACTCTCGTGATCCCCACGTAATGCAACGACTCCGCGATCTGCAACGCGCTCACCCCCTTGTTCGTACGCGCCTCCACGTCGGCACTCTTCTTCACCAGCAGCTCGATCACGTCCGCGTGTCCCGCCTCCACCGCGCAGTGCAGAGCCGTGTACCCATCCTCGTCCTTCGAATCGATGTCGATCCCTCTCTCGAGCAGAGTCCGAGCCGCCTCGATCTTCCCTTTAAACGCCGCCCGGTGGAGCGCCGTCCACCCGTGCTGGTCCCGGCCGTTCACCAACGCGCCGCTCTCGATCACCCGCTGGATCGCGCGCGAGTCTCCCTTACGCGCCGCCACGCACAAGCTGTCCCCCAATTTCAGCGCGTCGAACAGCCGCGAGTGGCCGTACTCCGCCGCGATGTCGTACGACACCTGCCCGTTCCGGTTGCGTATCTCCTTATTCGCCCCCTTCTGCAGCAAAAGCCTCACCATGTTCTCGTCGCCGAGCCTCGCCGCCACGTGGAGCGGCGTGTCCCCGTCCCTCCCGTTCCTCACGTCCCCACGCGCCCCGCTGCCCAGCAGCAGACGCGCGCAGTCCCGCCGCCGCTGCTCCACCGCGATGTGGAGGGCCGTGCTGCCGTCCTTGGTCAACGAGTCAACCCTGGCCCCTTTCAGCAAAAGAAGCCTCAGAACCTCCACGTGTCCCGCCCCGGCCGCGAGGTGGATCGGTCCCCACGAGGAAGTTTCGGATCTCTCCGTGCTGGCTCTGTGGGCGAGCAAAAGCTCGACAATCAAGGCCTCGCCCGACCCGGCCGCGACCTCGAGCGGGGTCGACCCGGACCGGCTCCGGAATTCCACATCCGGCCCGAACTCCAGAAGCAGCTGAACGATGTCCGCCCGGCCGTGAGAGATGGCGATGTGGAGCAGCGGCTCGCCGTGCGGGTCGACCGAATCGGCGGCCTTCCAACTCGGGTCGCTCCGCTCGAGAACCTCCCGGATCTCGTCCATGGCGCCGTCGATGACGAGCTGGGCCAGAACAGGGGACCCGACGAACATGATCTTCAACCCGCTGTCCTGGAACACCTGCTTCTTCCTGGTGGTGAACCAGTCGTTGGGCACGGCGTCGAGAGCAGAGGTCGGGTCCTTAATTGCGGCGCCCGGGACGACGACGCTGTGGAGGAGGAAAGAGTCCTCGCAGTGGGGGAAAGTCTCGGGGATGTGGGATCCTGGAGGGAGGATGTAAGTGATCTCGACGGATTGGGTCGCGAGAGGCGAGATTATGCCGGATTGGGGCTTGATGGCGTATCGATTCTTGTTCAGGGCTTGGATCCGGAAAGCCACCGGCATGGTGTACATGACGTTGCGGAGGGTGAGCTCGCCGGAGCATTTTTGGCCCGGTTCGATCCGCACCGCCGCCACGTTCGACGGCTCCAATTTGATCAGCCTGTCCATTTAGACCCACGAATTTTGAATTCCCTTGCTTCTGTTGGTGATGATTCCTGATTGCAAAGAAGAAGCCCACTCAGTCTTGGAAAACAGGGGAGGTTATTGCCTTTTGGGGGTTTTGAGTTGATGGGTTATGGAGAGAGGGGAAATCCCAGAAGAAGGAGGAGAGAGAGAGGGAAGAAATGGGGGATTCGAAGAAAGGAGTAGACGAGTAGGAGGGGGAGAAGAAGGGGTTTTAAGGGGGAAATGGAAGGAATGCCGGCAGAGAGGAGAAAGCGCCAAGTGGTGGGAGGGGAAAACAAGGGAAGGGAGGAAGGCGGGAGGGTTGATGATGACGGGTTTTACGTCTTTTTTGTTCCATTTGGCGTCTGCAACTGTGGCGCTACTTACTGCTGCTTCGGCTGCAACCGAGAATACAAGCATAAATTTACAGTTGTCTGAGGGGGAAGGAAATTGTTGTTTGTTTGGGGTCGTATAGGTATTCTCTTTTGTTTCTTCCGCTCTTCAGATTTCTATTTTAACTATGCATTCCGCATCCGCGCGTCCGGCCCCAAAATGATGAAGAGTTAAAAGAATTCAAACTGTATTTCCTATGATCCATCTTCTTAGCTATTGCAATTTCCATCTGATTCATTTTATCTGACCCCAAAAAGAATTCAAACTGTATTTCCTATGATGTTAGCTATGGGTGGGCATCGGTCCTGTTCGAACCTAATCAGACCAAATTCAGAAGAACTACGGTCCAATAGTGAAAGATATCTTAGGATCATGGATCAGATCAATAGTGCATTCGGTCCGTTTTGATCCATTTGGTCCGATACAAACGTAAATTCGGTCCATTTTTCTTTAGTATTTTTAAAATTCATAGGACCAAGGATCGGATCATATTATATTCAATTCAGTGTGTTCTGGTCCAAACATCGATTCGGTCCAATGTGGTCCGGTATGGATCAACCCATTGCACACCCTTGTTAGCTATTGCAATTTCCTTCTGATTCATTTTAGCTGACCAATGGACAATGGCGGATCTGGGGATGGACCACTTAGGTCACGACCCGACCCTCCTCTGGACTAGAACTAGTATAGTACGTATAAAATTTTTGAATTATATATTCGATCTTGTGTTATTTAAAAGTCACTCCAATATTATTTGATAATAAGATTTTGTGTAACTAAAAAAATGGTCTAGATTAACATATTCAAACAACTATCTAAATTTAGCCCAAAAATTCTAGCCCAATGATTTTCATTTGAAAAAAAAAATTAAATTATGAAACCTAAAAGTCTTACAAGTAAAAGACTAAAAGCATACTGTTTCAATGGGAAAAAACCCGTTAAACTAAATCACACCATTTCTTTTCATAAGTCAATTTCCCCAACCACCAAAAAATAAAATAACAACGAGAAGAGGAATGTACTCGAAATGGATTCCTCTGCCAGTTTGTCCGGCTAGTTTTCTTTCCGGTTTTTTGATGAAGAAGATATTTACAAACTTGTTGAGTCATCATTTAGATTGCTTCAGTTGAATGGTGCACTAGATCCTAAATGTTCTTTTTAGTCTTTTGATGAAGAAAATATTTACAAACTTGCTGAAGAGTTTATCCTCGAGACTTTGAAGGCAATTATATGCATTTTTTTGAAGAATGAGCTATGATATTTTTCTGTCGTCTACTGTTGACCTAGCCCGTTTCAATGGTTACGACGATATGATTATTTTTAGCAATGAAACATGTCAAAACTGATTTGTGCAACAAAATGAAAGGTGAATTTTCTCGCTGATTGGTTAAGCATTTTTTTTCGATAGAGTATGTTATTGGTATGGATGAAGACTCCATTATTGATGAATTTGATAAATTAAAAGACCATCATGTACAATTGACATTGTAATGAAAACAATAGTTATCATATATTTTTGTTTACGGTAACTAATTTTCTATTCAAATGCGACCCAGTGCTCTACTACGTCTTGGATCCGCCTCTGTCTAACATGTTTGATATGTTTGGGACGGATCCGTCCTGTAGGGGTGAGTGAGATGGGTATGAGTTACTCTCTTCAACTTAATCTGCCCTTACCCGGCCCATTGCTCACATGTTTTGTCTAAGTTATATGTAATTTTACTCAAATACTTAGGATTTTACTTTAGTTACCTCATATTTTAACTATAATGAAGTTGTAAATAAGTGGGAACTTCAATTTCTAGAATAATTTAACTATATTTATCATATTATAGTTTTTGTCTTGGTTTTAATGAAAAATAAATAATTCTAATATTTTCTTTTGAATTATAATAAAAATTAATATTTTCTTTTCACATAACACACCTGTATGGATTGACCTACCCAACTCAAGCCCCATGATAAATTACCAGACCTACCACGTGGGATATGAGTATCGAGATACTCACCTCGGACCGCCCCCATTGCAATTCTTAACCTTGATGCTTGGAAAATAGGTGAGGGTGTAATTCGATATAGTATCGGTATCCTGATACCAAATACCAAAACACCAAATAGCAAATTACATCCTAATATCTATCTCAATCCCTAAAAAAATTATGTATCTCAATATCAATCCTAAAATATTTCGATAACCCAATCGATATTATTGAATACGAAGTTGATTACCTTTACAATTAATAATAAAATATATATAAATAAGTAAACAATGGTTAGAACACCCCTAATCCCTAGCATTTTGTCGTGTAGATTTGCATGTCTAGCTTTGTGATTGAAAATATTGGTGATGAGAACTTGAGTTGTGATAAGTCTAATAGAAAGTAATTGAAGTCCTAGTTGTTTAGATTCAATCAAATCTTCATTCAACTTATTCATTATAGGTTCGTATTTAGGGCAAAGAAAATAGGTAAAGAGTTTTGAGTTCACCTAGTGCAAAGACATGCATGGATAAGGAGAAGGGAAGAGATGGTGGAATCTCTATTTCTTGTAGTTGGTAATCTTTAATTAGAAGATTAGAGGCTAAGAGATGACTAATGAGAGTGTCTATTGTTTTGTGTTATGGACATAACAAAAGACGATTGAGAGATGATAGTGACTTAAGCTGGAAAAGCAAAATTGGATTGGATGGAGGTTGTGAGTTGTCAAAAAGTGAGAAAAGATCACAGGTTGTATGCTATATTTCATTAATTTTTTATTTTTGTTATTTCTCGTATTTTGGTATATACCAATCTCATTCACGCAATCTCGAATAGTGAATAATAGTCCAAAATAAATATCAATCCCAAACCCTAAAAATAAATTGGTGTACAATAATACCAAAATGATAAAAAAAAATTCAATATATTTTTCGGTATATCTCAGATACTGATATCAAACTTTTAACTTACTAAAATCATTGTTGCTGCAGTCTCAATTTGATTGTTGGGATTTCCGTCTCAACTCAGTGTCCTGTTTTTTTCCCCGCCATGATCAGCTATGGGTCCTAGCAATGGCTTTTAGTCACAAACACAAGGAAATGGGATTCTCAAAGAAGTCACAAACTGAATATACACAAGGTATGTTTGTTTGTGAAAGAAGTAAAAAACTTGGTCAACCCAATGTGTTTCCTTGGAACCAAATTACCTTTGAAAATGGCTAATTATCTATAAACTTCATTTCGAAATAGAGCCGGTGTTCTATCTCAATATTGCAATTCAAAATCTCTAACATTGTGGTTGGATATGTGTATTACAAATATATCTATTTGAGATCTTGAATTTTGAAATACTAATATCTAACATTCATGCAATTCAATATCATTGTTTGATTATTTATATGTAACTTTTTAGATAATTCATACTCTATGACTTTTAGCTTTCAATAAGAAGTTTGTTGGCCAAGTGCTATAGTTTTGGGGGGAAAATTATATTTTAGAACTTGTATTTTTTTCAAACAGGTTTAAAATTTTGGTGATAAACTTACTTTTTGCTACATTTATACTTTTTCTTGCTATCTGAAATTTGACAAATTTATAAATAAGTCATTTTTATATTTTGAGAAATTTCAAATCACTGTTGATTAATATGTATTTGTAATTTAAAAATAATATATTACACTACATATGTATTTAAATCATCCCATAAATTTGGAAAAATCCAAATACCATATTTACATTTCTACTTAGTATACCAAAATATAATTTGATATTTGGAATTCCAATTCCAAATTCTCATATACTGCTAGAACCTGTGGACTTTTTGTCAAACCATTGACAAACTTAATCAGATTTAGAGAGTTGCATGAGCTCTTGTTACTAAGGGGTCGTTTGCTTGAGGGTTTTGGTGATGGATTTGGTCATGAAAATATATCCATCATGGACTTGAGCCGAAATCCATCGTTTGCCGTAGGTAATTAGGAAGATGGAATTTGTGGGGCCCACCTCTTTTGGGGTTCCAAATCCGTGGACCCCACGGACTTGGAAGTTCCACCTCTTGAGGTGGGATTTGGGTGATGGATTAAAATCCATGATGATAAATTACCTTTCTACCCTTAATTATTTCGTTAATTACAAATTTGTCATATTTTAATTCAATGGTCATGCAACTGTAAACTTTTATAATTTTGTATTTTATAAATATGAGAATTTATCATTTCATTTAGTAATATCGTATTTTATTTAAATATGAATGTATATGTGATTTGTTAGATTCACCTAGAAACACTTTATGCTCATCTTGTACATTATTATTTGATTGATTGTCGAATTCCACATCGGTGAGTTAGCAAGAAGATGATGAGTTGTAGCAATAAAGCGAGCAATTGGATGCAATTGATACATAATATTGTGTACATTATTAGATGAATTGTTAATTAGTGCCAAATTGTAATACATTTCTATATTTGTAGTTGAATTATTAATCCATATAGTGGTAAAGAGTTTAAAATTTCTTTCTATGTTTTGGATTAGTTTTAAATGAAAGATTTGGATTATAATATAGAAATATAATTAAATAAGGGTAACTAGGTAATTTGTATTTAATATCCATAAATCTAATCAAACAAAGTCCATA